CGCACCGCGACCCCCCCCTCCGCCGCCCCTGGGGGGACACCTCCAAACGGGGACCTCCTTCCACCTCCCCAAAGGTGGGACGCCTCTCAAGGAGAACCTCTTCCAGGGGGACCCACAGCCGCTTCTTCAAAGGGGGGGACCTCTCTCCCAAGGGGACCTTTTCCAGGGGGACAGCCCCTGTCCCACATCTCCCATTCGGATGTCTCCAAATGGGGGACCTCCTCTGCCTCCTCCCAAATGGATCTCTCCAACAAGGACCCTCTTCTGCCCCTCCAGATGTGACCCTCTGGCCTGTCTCTGGGGGACATCTCCAAATGGGGGAGCTCCTTCTACCTCTTCATGGGGACCCCCTCCAAAGGGATTCTCTACAAGAGGGACTTGTATTCATCTCTCCAAGGAGATCCTCTCTAAAGAGTGGGAGAGGAGGATGCTCTCCCACTTCTTTAAATAGAGAACCCCCTCCAAACAGACCCTTGGGACTCTTTTGGTCTCTTTGGATTCAGAAGAGACCCTTCTTGGCCTCTCCAAGAAAGGACCTTTTTCAAGGGCACCCCACTCTAAAGAGGACCCCTCAAAGGGCTCTTGTCCACCTTAACCTCCCCTGTTTCTCTCGCCTCCAGGTTTCCTGATCTCCAAGTGCTGCTTCCCTATCCTCAAAGCCAAGACTGGAAAAGCCAAGCGGGTCCGGACTATCTTCACCAGTGATCAGCTGGCCCGGCTGGAGAAGGAGTTTGCACGGCAGCAGTACATGGTGGGCACAGAGAGGTGCCTGCTTGCCTCCTCCCTGCACCTTACTGAAGAGCAGGTAAGCCCCACCATCCCCACCTGCCACCACCAGCAGGTCCAGGGAGGCTCCCAAACCTGTGTGCTGATGGGTGGGCCATGTCCCTCAGCCTGAGGCAGGAGCCCTGTGGGGTCATAATTGGCGATGGTTTACATGAAAAGGGTGGAGGATCACTGATGGGGAAACTGAGTCGCAAAGTGGCTGTCCTAGGGCCACATGGAAGGGTTAAACTTAAGTCCACCTGAAAGCTAGACCTATTCCACCACTGGCAGGTCCCAGCTCACCAATGCAGGCTGAGCTCCTGGGTTGCAGGGGACAATTTTCCATCTTACTAAGGACAGGGGACCTCTGTCCTGTCCACCCAGGGGATTTCTGAGGCTGTGGGCATCTAAGCGTTTGTGGAGTGTCTGGGCACTGCCTGAGCTACAGGGGTTCAGCAGACCATGACCCCATGGTCCATGGAGAAACCAGGTTTGAAAGCCAAGCTTTACCTCTTCTTAAGGTGAAAGTCTGGTTCCAAAACCGGAGGATCAAGTGGAGGAAACAAAGCCTGGAGCAGCAGCAAGCCAAACTGGCCAAAATGGGTTTGGCCACCCCACAGAGGAGCCCCGATTCCCAGAGCCACCACGACGAGGAGGACAAGGACTTCCCAGAGGAGCTAGATGATGGCCAGCAGGACATAGCCTCCTCCCCAGGCTCAGGGACAGCACCTGCACAGACTGTGACAAAGAGCTGCTGAATCGCCCCTTTGGGCTGCTTTTCTGTGTGTATTATATGATTGTATCATAGTTGGCAATAAGTGTATCTAATATATACAGGGCACCCATTATTTTTGCAGTGCGAAAATAAATTATTTATGCAAGTCTTGGGCTCATCTTTGCAGGAGGAAGAGGAACACCACCACCACATGCATGCAGGGGCAGTAAGTTTTAGGTGGGTTCTTGTTCATGGGAGCAAGCCCTGGAAGATAGTGGGAGTAGGGGCCACCTACACGCTCCACCCACAATGAGCCCTATAGCCAGGCTCATGCCAAAGGTGCTGGTGCTCAGATACCTCCTTGTGCTCTAAAATAGCTCAGGACCTTCACAGAGCGCAGGTCATTGTAGAACACCTCCATCTCATGGTTCATCCATCTCCATTGTCCTTCCTGCCAGCAGCATTTTCACCGCAACATCCTGCTGTGCCCACAGCTCACTCATTCCAACCCAGTGATGGCATCCTGCTCTGTGGGGCTTTTTGAGCCAGGAAAGTAGGGAAGATGCACCTGGAGAGCAGAGATGGTGGTGGCTCTGCGAGATGGGGGCCTGGGGTGCCCTCTCAGCTGGGCCAAGGTTAGCCAGATTTTAATTTTAATTGCTTGGCCCTGCTTTAGGCAGATGTAGAAGTTTCAAATCCAGCACATAGGACACATTGGCCTGGGGATGAGCCAGGGGTGGACTTTGTGGGGAGCTCCTTGCAAGGATTCAACGCAAGCGAGTACCAGCAGACCTGGACCTCCTAGATAACAGCAGCAATGGGGACATCTGGGTTCTCACCTGGGCAGCACCAGCTCTTGCTAACCTTATTTTCTTGGTGGCTGCCCTGGGCTTGGGGCTGGGGAAAGACTGGACCCAGGTGGAGGGTTTATTTGGGCAGGTGTGCAACCTGATGCGAGGAGGACAATGGAAGGAGAAGGAGATGATGCCAGGAGAGGGGGGTGACGCCAGGAGAAGGGGATGGTGCATGGAGAGGGGGGACAATGTAAGGAGAAGGAGACTATAAGAAGGGGATGGTGCAAGAAGGGGATAGTGCAAAGAGAGGGGGATGATGCAAGGAAAAATGGGACAATATGAGGAGAAGGAGATGGTGCAAGGAGAGGGGGGCGATGCAAGAAGGAAGGGGACAGTGCAAGAAGAAGGGGATGGTGCCAGGAGAAGGACGATGTGACGGAAGCTGCTCTTTGTTCCGGCTGTTTTCAGAGCCGGGATTAGCCGGCGGGTCTCAAAGAGCCCAAACTGTGCTAATGTCTTCACATGTCTGCTGAGAGCCCAGCCTGCGCCGGCCGCTTTAACCCGCTAATCTCGCCTGCCGGTGGGTTTATTGCAATCCTCCCCGAGACAACAGGGCTTACGGGGGATGTTTTAATATCGCCCAGCCGGGGGCCAAGCTGATTGCAAGAGTTAAGTTGTTCTCAGGACACCTTTAATCCCCCGGGAGCTGGCAGCGCTCAGCCTCGGGCAGGATTGGGCCTTTCGGCGGTGCCAGGCTCCTCCGGGGCAGGCAGCAGGGGACCCGTCCCCGCTCCAGGGGATGATCCTGCAGAGTCCGACCAGCTCAGACCCCTCTGCGGGCAGCATCTGACCAGGGAAATGACTTTTACTAAAACTGCTGGGCTTGATTGAGTTTTTTTAAAGTTACTTTATATGAGGTGAATTAAGCCACGTCCATCTTTCTGGCACTTCAGGCTTTGACCAGGAGGCTTTTCTTACGGTGGTTGACAATCCTTGAGGGGGTGGCTGGTCTCTGGAGGTGCAGGGGGCTCAGGATGCCCGTGTTTCCTTCCCTGCCTGCCAGGAGACAGCTGGGTGCAGGGAAGGCCATACCCTTTCTTCCTCTCACCCAGTGATTAACCTGTTTGCAGGTTCCTCAGGATGGGGAAGGGACTGTATCTGCAGGACAAAGCAGCTAATTATTGCTCCAGTGAGGATGAGAAAAGCCAAATCCCAGGTCTGACCCTGATAATGGGACAGAGTTGACGGTTCTCAGAAAAGTTGGATTCAGCTGGGTCATTTTATGTCCTGCACTTCAGGCTTTGACCAGGAGGCTTTTCTCACGGTGGTTGATAATCCTTGAGGGGGTGGCTGGTCTCTGGAGGTGCAGGGGGCTCAGGATGCCCGTGTTTCCTTCCCTGCCTGCCAGGAGACAGCTGGGTGCAGGGAAGGCCATACCCTTTCTTCCTCTCACCCAGTGATTAACCTGTTTGCAGGTTCCTCAGGATGGGGAAGGGACTGTATCTGCAGGACAAAGCAGCTAATTATTGCTCCAGTGAGGATGAGAAAAGCCAAATCCCAGGTCTGACCCTGATAATGGGACAGAGTTGACGGTTCTCAGAAAAGTTGGATTCAGCTGGGTCATTTTATGTCCTGCCAAGCCTCCACCAGCCCTAGCAACCCAGAAAGGGGGTGGAAATGCAGTTTTCTTCCCCCAATGGAGACATCTCCTTCCCCAGTCCAGGGAGTAGGTCTTGCTGCCCAGCCCAACTCCCAGCCCAACTCCTGGCAGCTTTGACCGGGGCACATAATTGGGATCAAACCTGGGCACAGCGATTTGGCACCTTGGAAAATAAGGGAGAGAGAGACAATGGCAAGGTCTTGAGCTGGATCAACCCACCTGGGACAGAGCCTTAGCTCCTCTCATCCACCACGAAAGCCTGTGCAGAATAAGAGCATTTGGTTGTGTGTCCTTACCTAAACCCCACACGCATCCCAGAAACCCTGCTAGTCCCTTCCCAATCCTGCGTATCACATTGCTCTCTTAAAGACACTGGTTTTTTCACCTGTCTGCAAAAAACCGAGTTGGCTTCCAGTGGCAGATAATTATAAGGAAGTGAGAATTAAGCAGCCTTATTAAGAGGATAAAGGTTATCTGCTAAAGATGCAGCACTGAGCCCTCCCCAGTAAATCTCTGCTCTGTAGATAAGTAGGCAGCCTGTAGGAGGACAGGTAGGTTGAGAGATAGGTGGGCAAATGTATTAGGGTGGACTATTTGCCCAGAGGAACAGCCTACTCAGCATGTGGATGGATGGAAGGGTGGATGATTGGGGATGAATGCAAGACCCTGGTGAATAGGTGCAAATGGGCGGCTGGGTAAATGGGATGGGAGATGGATGGAGAGATAGGGGAAGGGATAACGGGTGGAGCTGTAGCCTGCAGTGCCTCTGCGTCTCCCTCCCCGCTGTCCTTCCCGCCAGGATTATTCCTGCTGAGCACATGGCGACGGACACGATTTATTTGCACAGGTCACATTTACTCAGGATGGTAGAAGTTTGCAGGCTGGGGTATTCAGATGCTGGAGCAGCAGGACCCCTCCAGCCCCCCAATCCCTGTGACCCAGCTGCTTTCCCAGGTGCCTTCTGCATCCCTTCCCTGAGCCGGCAGCCCCATCCTCCTCAGCTGATTGCCCCCTCATGCTCTCTTTTTGGGGGGATTTTGCTAAATGGGATTACTGTGTGCTGAGGACGGGCTGGGACACCAGGGAGGGCAACCTGCTGGCGACAGAGGTTCAAGGCAAAGCCCAACTCAAGCCAGGACACGGGGCGCCGGGGTCGGCTGTGCGTGTTTCCAGGCTCCAGCTCCTCATGTAATCTTGTTAAATGATCAGGGAGCGTTTCCCCCTGTTTCTCCCTCCCCTTTAATTCCCGATTGAAACATCAAATAAAGCTTTCAGAGGCTGCCAGGCAGCTCCACCAGCTCTGCGCTGCCCAGTTGCAGTGGAAATAAAAAAAGACATCCCGAGTCATGGGAGGAAACATCGTGACATGCCATCTTTTGCAGTCTTTCTGGGATGAATTTGCCCCAAACTGCCTTGCTCAGCCAAAGAGCAAAGGCAACGATATTTTGCATTAAACTCTCAGATGGATGTAGCTCCCTGATGCATGAAAACAAGGGTGAAATGGGGTGACTTGCCTGGAAATGCAGAGGGGAAACTGGGAGGCTAAGGAAACCCCTTATACGGGGTGAGCATTGCACCCAAAATCTCTGAGTTTAGAAATCACGGGTTTAAAAGGTATTTATCCTGCAACAAGAAATATGGGACCATGCACCAAGTGCCTTTGGAGTAAAAGTGAGCAGCCCTATGCCTAAATCCTGTGTAGGGCTGTGTGGGGAGATTCAGGGTCTGGTAAGGGAACACCATCAGCCCTGGTCTGGGTTTGCCATGGGGCATATCCGATTTTAAATAGCTGCTGGTGCTTACCCCACCGGCTCTCCTGCACACATCCCAGTCTCAAAAATTGGGACACTGTGAGGAAATTCCTCCCTCCCCCTTTGGTGCCCATAGCCATGCACATGGCAGGGCCTGCCAGAAACCAGTGTGCTTCATTTTGGTGAGATGAACTGTTAGGAAAAAAAAAAGAGGAAAAAAAAAAAAGTCACCATTCTCCCTTTGCAAATGGTTTGTGGCACAAAATCCCCTGACCGTGGTGGCACTGCTGCCCTGGCACGGTTGGTCTGGGCTTCTGCTGGGGCTGTACCAGAGGTCCTGGCACCACACACTCTCTGCAATGGTGTGATTTTATTTAAAAAGATTGATTAAATCATTAAATCAAGTCAGTCCCAATGGGCTGTGATGAATAAGGGGATCTTGCCAGAAGGTGCAGGACTGGAAGTCAGAGAAAGTGGTCCCAGCTCTCCTAAAACCTCCTCCCAGGTCTTAGGCTGCCATGTTCTTGTGCCTCAGTTTCCCCAGCTGCGGGAGCTGGGTAAATACAGCCTTGGACACGCGTGGTATGGGCTCGACTCCTGCTTATCCAGGCCGGCTCTGATCCCGCTCCCACTCAGCACCCCTGCCGAGAGCCGAGCCGGATCCAACCCTGGCTCTGCCCCATCCTTCCCCCACTCCATCTCTATTGATTTAATAAGATGGAGAGGAATTAACGGGGCTGGAGCATTGGAATAATGAAAGATGAA